CTTTTCACCTGTGAATGCCTTCAGTGAGTTAATTCCATTTTGTGCCTAGTTTAAGTGTCCGGATGTCAGTTTTTCTGGAGCATCTCTGACAGCTGAACTGCCAGAGTTAGTGTGTAATTGAAAAGTGGGTTTGGCCCACTTCCCCCCTGTCAGCCCGCATAGGAACATTCCTGAACACACCCTTTAATGGTCGCCTGTAAGTGTTCTTGTTAGTGATATTCCCCTGCTTTCTGTAGGCCCACATGCATACATGACGCATGACCACAGCCCTCAGTCGTTGTGTGAGGAGGTTCTTTTCTCCATTATACTCTATAAAACATCACCACATGAAGACAGAGCTCTGAAAATCCATGATGGCGTCTGATTTCCCTCACCTGGGTGGTCTATTTTTGTCTTTGTCTCATGTTTACTCCTATTTGAGACTTAATAAGGAGTCTAGAATATTTATCCACCACTTGTCTGTCAGTTTTTCATACTGTAGTGGTTTGTGAGTTGCTGTGATTCTGGAAGTTATGCCACGGGTATTTTAAATACCAGCAGGGTCATCCATGGAGAACAGATTTTAGATGAGTTTCCAGATGAAGACAGACTAGGAAGAAGGGGAGATGAATTACTTTATTTAGTCACTGAAAACCTTATGAATAGCAGTGAAATCCTGTCAGATGTAGTGCCAAAAATGAGCCCCTCATGTTGGAAGGCACTCAAAATGCCACTAGGGAAGAGCTGCCTCCTCCAAGTAGAGTTGACTGTGATGACGCAAATGGACTAAAGTCTGTGGGAGTAAAGCCCTCGGGACCTTCAACTGCTGATGGGGCACAACTCAAAATGAAGAGAAACAGCTGTAAAAATCCATTAATAATCAGAACATGGAATGTATAAAATATGAATATAGGAAAATAAGAAATTGTCAAAAATGAAATGGAACGCATAAACATTGATATCTTAGGCATTAGTGAGCTGAAATGGACTGGTATTGGCCATTTTGAATCTGAAAATCACATCGTTTACTATGCTGGGAATGACAAATTGAAGAGGAATGGTGTTGCATTCATTGTCAAAAAGAACATATCCAGATCAGTCATGAGGTACAACGCTGTCTGTGATAGGATATCCATGTGCCGACAAGGAAGACCAGTTAATAACATTATTAATCCAATTTACACACCAACCATTAAAGCCAGTAAGGATGAAATAGAAGAATTCTACCAACTTCTTCAATCTGAAATTGATCAAACATGCAATCAAGATGCATTGATCATTACTGCTGATTGGAATGCAAAGGTTGGGAATAAAGAGGAAGGATCAGTAGTTGGAAAATATGGCCTTGGTGATAGAAATGATGCTGGAGATCTCATGATAAAATTGTGTTCTTATCAAATACCTTCTTTAGACAGCATAAAATGACTGACTATACCCAAGGACCTCACCAATTGAATACATAGAAATCAAATTGACTACATCTGCGGAAAGAGATGATGGAAAAGCTCCATATCATCAGTCAAAACAAGGCCAGGGGCAGATTGAGGAACAGACCATCAATTGCTCATATTCAAATTCAAACTGAAGTTGCAGAAAATGAAAACAAGTCCACGAGAGCCCAAATATGACCTTGAATATATCCCACTTGAACTTAGAGATCATCTGAGAACAGATTTGATACATTAACCACTGAATTTAGACCGAAGACCAGAAGAGTTGTGTGATGACATCAAAAACATTATACAGATACAAAGCAAAATGTCATTAAGAAGACAAGAAAGGAAAAGGTCAAAATGCATGTCAGAAGAGACACTGAAACTTGCTCTCCAGCGTAGAGATGCTAAAGCAAATGGAAGAAATGTGGAGGTACAAGAGCTGTACAGAATATTTCAAAGATTAGCTCCAGAAGATAAAGCCAAATATTACAACAAAATGTGCAAAGATCTGGAATCAGAAAACTAAAAAGGAAGAACACGTTCAGCATTTCTCAAGCTGGGGGAACTGAAGAAAAAAATTCAAGCCTCGATTTTCCTTATTGAAGGATTCTCTCGGCAAATTATTGAACGATGCAGAAAGCATCAAGAGACAATGGAAGGAATACATAGAGTTGCTATACAAAAAGGAAATGGTTGATGCTCAACTGTTTCAAGAGGTGGCATATGATCAAGAGCCAATGATACTGAAGGAAGAAGTCCAAGGTACATTGAAGGAAATGGCAAAGAACAAGGCACCAGGAATTGATAGAGTACAAACTGAAATCTTTCAAGAAAGTGAGGTGCCACAGGAGGCACTCACTCATCTCTGCCAAGAAATTTGGAAGACAACTATCTGGCTGACTGATTGGAAGAGATCCATATTTGTGCCCATTCCAAAGAGAGGTGATCCTACGGAATGTGGAAATCATCGGACAATCTCTTTGATATCCCATGCGAGTAAAGTTTTGCTAAAGGTAATACAGAAATGGCTACAAGCATACATTGTCAGAGAACTTCCAGAGGTTCAAGCCGGATTCAGAAGAGGCCGTGGAATGAGGGATATCATTGTTGATGTCTGATGGAGCTTGGCTGAAAGCAGAGAATACCAGAGAGATGTTTACCTGTGCTTTATTGACTATGCAAAGACTTTTGATTGTGTGGATCATGACAAGCTATGGAAAACACTGCAAAGTATAAGTATTCCTGAACACAATTAATTGTGCTCATGGAAGAATCTGTACCTGGACCAAGAAGCAGTTGTTCCACAGAACATGGGAACACTGAAAGGTTTAAAATTAGGAAAGGTGTGTGCCAGGGCTGTATTAATTCACCATACTCATTCAACCTATACGCTGAGCAAATTATCCAAGAAGTTGGGTTGTATGAAGAAAAATGTGGCATTAGGAGTAGAGGCAGGCTCATTAACAACCTGTGATATGAAGATGATACAACCTTGCTTGCTGTATGTGAAGAGGGCTTAAAATGCTTACTGATGAAGATTAAAGACCATAGCCTTTGGTATGGATTCCATCTCAATGTACAGAAAACACAAATTCTCACCACTGGACCAATAAACAACATTCTTATCAATGGCGGTACGATTGAAGTTGTCAAAGACTTCATTTTTCTTGGATTAACCATCAACACTCATGGAAACAGCAGCCATGAAATCAAACGACATACTACATTAGTCAAATCTGCTGCACAAGACCTTTTAAAAGTGTTGAAGAGCAAAGATGTCAGCTTAAGGACTAAGGTGTGCCTGACCCAAGTCATGGTATTTCCAATAATCTCATATACATGTGAAAGTTGGACAGTGAATAAGGAAGACTATAGAAGAATTGATGCTTTTGAGTTATGGTTTTAGAGGAGAATATTGAAAGTGCCATGGGCTGCCAAAAAACCCAACAGATCTGTATTGGAAGAAGTACAGCCAGAGTGCTCTTTGGAGGCCAGGATGGCCAAAGTTTGTGTCTCAAGCCAGGGTGTTGCACTAGGATAAGTAATTGACTGCTAACCACCATGTCAGCAGTTCAAACCGAACTCTGCAGGAGAAAGATAAGGCTTTCTGCTCTTGTAGATTTTACATCCTCAGAAACTCTAGAGAGGGTTGCTATGACAAACTCTACTTAGTGTTACAGAATTGACTTGGTGACAGTGGGTTTTTGATATTCCACCCCACAAGTGTGGGTGAAAACATTAACATGTATGTACTGTAAACTCCTGGTGTGGCACTGTGGGCTAATGCATCAGACTGCAAAGTCATGTGAACTGCAAAGTTGGTGGTTCAAGCTCACCAGCTGCTCCTTGGAAACCCTATACAGGGTCGCTATGGGTTGGAATAGACTCAACGGCACTAAACAACAACTGTAAACTCCCATAAACTCTCTTGCTTAAGGAGTCTTAAGTTTTTACTCTCCTATCCTCAAGGTCAGCAGTTCGAAACTACCAGCTATTCCAAGGGAGAAAGATGAGACTTTCTGCTTCTGTAAATGTTTACAGCCTCAGAAACCCTGTACAGGGAAGCTATGAATCGGAACTGACTCCACGGCACATAACAACAACATCCTTCTTAGAACTACAGTGTTGGAGTCCTGGTGTGGCACTGTAGGATAAGCACTGGACTGCTAACTGCAAGGCTGGTGGTTTAAACCTACTTGCTACTCTCTGAAAACCCTATACAGGTTTGCTAACTAGGAATTAGAACTGACTTGAAGGCACTTAACAACAATCTTCCTTTCAAAGGAGACTTGGTGGTGCCTCAGGATAAACACTGTACTATGAACTGCAAAGTCGGTAGTTCAAACTCACCAACCATTACTCCTTGGAAGAAAGTGGTGGCTCTGCTCCTGTAATGATTTACAGCTTTGGAAACCCACACAGGGTCACTATGAGATGGAACAGTCTCAATAGCAATGGGTTTTGGATTGAATCCTCTTTCAAGGAGCTCTATAAACACAGTGGGCTAAGCACAGGGATGATAACTCCTCTGTCCTGTAGGGTTACTATGGGTTAGAAATGACTCGCTGGCAGTGGGTTTGGTTTAGGTTTTGGTATCCTCCATTCAGAACTTCCTTGTTCTCTGTTGTTGTTTTTAGTTTCTATCTCATGACCGAATACCTGATTTAGTTGTCTGAACAGGTCCCTTGGTTTGATATTTGTTTGGACTGTCTGTGATTTGTACAATATTTAAGAAGTAGAATCATGAAGCCTTGTTGATTGACTGAATAGGGGGTTTCTAACTTCCTTTTCTAAAGGTATTGATTAAGCATTGACTACATCAAGTTAACATAAAAGTTGATTGTAAAGCAATTAAGAGTCTATAAGCCACACAAAAGCATCAAGAAGCATCAATTTAATTGAGTAATATCCTCATACTTTGTGAATGAAAACCCAGAAAGGGAACAATCTGTAATAGTTTTAAGTGTGTATTCTAGTTTCATTTCTATGTGAAAAACTGCAGTTAAACTAAAAAGAACATTCTCAGAGAATTTTAAAACTTATTTAGATATTAACTAAATAATAATTCCATACCAGGTCAAGGACTCTGTAAATGAAATTCCATTGCATTATTTTATTAAGAAAAACCAATAAGATAAGATAGAAACAAAAGACTTGGTCATTTGCAGTATCTATCAGCTTTCAATTTGGCTCTCCTGTTTGAACAAAAATAAAATAATAAACATTAATCTATGTAAAACATGTCATATAGCATGCATATTCATGTTACAGACAAAAACTACTACTAAATATAAAACTTATGCTTAGAAATTATGCTCTTGATTTTGGTTATATGACCACAAAACATACATTTAAATATCTGTACTGAAATTGTATTTCTTTAATTTTATGTTTCACAAAAAATAGATTTTGTTCTTATGAAAGTCTCTAATAGCAAACATTGCCTAACAGCCTTTTCTGAGTGCAAAAGCAATTTTTAGTAGCCTCCTGTGAATTAAGTATTACCTTCTAGCCGTCACTGGCAATGCTGTACACTCACAAGTGAAAACAGCTTCATGGACAAAGAGCTTAGTTTATTTCTTTTGCGTCTATACTTTGATTATGTTTTATAGTCCATTCCTAATTCTCAGAACCAGATACATGCTGATGTCCTCACCTGGAAACAATTCTATGCCATTTTCTACTTCAGGTAAAAAAATCTTATTAACTAGTCCATAGGATATACATGATTAAATACATGAATACCAGGTGTCTTTATCAAATAGTGTAAAGACAGACCGTAAGAGTAATTTTGCAACATATGACTTGAATGAATAAGTGGCAGGAGAACACCAAATTCTCTGTCAGTTGAATACTTATTTGCTTTATAAACTCACAGATAAGTCTCTATTTTTTTTTTTTTTAACATTGTGCATATAGAATAGTATTTATGTAATAGGAATTATATTTCTAATTGTATTTCTGTAATAACCTTAGCTGATCAACTACAAAGGTGATCACACTGTGACCTACCCCAGTAGAGCAGCTGTCTATGGCCATAACAACTCAAATGCGCCCGATTTCATCTGATCTCAGAAGCTGAGCAGGGTCGGGCCTGGTTAGTACTTAGATGGGAAATTGTCGGGGAATACCAGGTGCTGTATCTTTTTAGGAGTCCTGGTATGGTGCTGCAGGTTAATGTGCTGAACTACATGGTCAGTTTGAGTCGCAAGGTCAGAGGTTCAAGCTCACCAGCCATTCCTCTGAAACTCTATACAGGGTCACTATGAGTCGGAACCAACTCAATGGCGCTTAACAACAAATAGCAATAGTAACAAATATTAATACAGGTCTCCCCCACTTACTGGAATTTTGCGCCACACCACTTCACTTTTATGAAAGACCTATGTTAGTACCTGTTTTTGCTAACCGAAAGAACTCTAAAGAGAATTACTGTTTTTACAAAAAAAGGTGAAGGTGAAACCTGCATTCCGTTACAGATAACAGTGCATACCTGAGAGTGACATCCCTAAGCAACTTCCTCAGGAACTATACTCAGTGTGAGGCTGCCGCAGCTTTGAACTGTATCTGTGAACACTATTGTTGTTGTTAAGTGCCGTGGAGACAATTCCGGCTCATAGTAACCCTGTGTAGGGCTTCTGAGGAGCAGCTGGTGAGTTTGGACCTCTGACCTTGTGGTTCAAACCAACCTTGAGTTGAGTACTTATTCTATGGCACCACACCAGGACTCCTGTGAACATGCTATGTGAGTGTTATTTTAAAGTTTATGTGTTCTCTGGTATGTCTTGGTATGTTATATTTTGGGGCTAGGAACGCACAAAAAATTTTCCCATATATATTAGTGGTAGTTGCATCTTTACTTTACACCATTTGGCTTAAGAAATGTTTCATAGGAACACTCTACTTTAGGATGATGGGGGAAACCTGTAATGCACTATGATAAATATCCTGCACACTTCTGAATATAACTTAATAAAACTGCTTGAAATTTAATTCATTTAGCCTTTATATTTGTTTTTTTTTTTTTAACTGGTCTATTTTCAATCTCATTATCAGGAACTGTACTACTCCTATAGAATTCACAGAATTTTTAGTCATGCTACTTCCACCTAAGTTTGATTCCAACAGTCCTGAAAAGATGACAGTAAATAAGTTTATATAATAGTTTCAATCAAATCTGAATATTACAATAAAATATGTTAAGTTTATTGCTAGTATCTGGCTCTAAATTCAGGATATTTTGATGCCAGACTTGCAATGTGCTTTGTAGATACCATTACCATGTTTTCAAATCAGAAATAAAGTCAAAAATGTGAAAACTAAAGGAATTAAAAAGGACATTGGTTTTATGCATACTACTCTTAGTGCTACTTAAATTGTTGGAATTAATAAAAATATACCTACCTGTCCAGAAGTGTCTCATGTAAAAATCCGTCTTTCCGAGCCTTTTTAAGAATTTTGTTATCTTCTTTACTTATTTTAAGTTTGTGGTCTTGGAAGCTCTGAAATTTCTTTCTGTTAAGAAAATATGTTTGAAATGTATTTCAAACTTTGCTTATACATGTTTACTGATGAATATACAAATATTGCTAAAGTTTTTCATTAACAAATGTAATTGCATTTCTTTAATAACCTTAGTTGATCAACCATAGGATAAAGATGACCACACTGTGACCCACCCCAGTAGAGCAGTTGTTTGGGTAACTCTATAAGTACCACTTCTACCAGGAAATGTTTGCTTGAGCTCCCTGTGTCCTGGTCTTGCAACAGCATTTGTGTGACATACTAATCTGAGAAGTTAATGAACAGGGAGAAATGACTAACAAAAGTGGCTTTGGCTTTGAAAGTTGGAAGGTTAATCAGGAAAACTGAAGCCGTGAGAAAAAGAAAGCACCGAGTTGAGTTCTGTGTCCTAGAGCAGCTGTTCAAAGCTCCTTGAGAAGCACTGCTTTGCCAAACTTGTAAGTCTGAAAGGAGAATACATACACATAATTGATTTCACACTGCTTAATATTTCCTTTGTCTTCTTCTGGAATGTCATCTTTTTTCTTGGTTTCTCTTTCAGCACAGGATCTAATCTGGGTATTGGGGAAAAGAACACAGCAGGGTGGTTAACAATCTACCTTCTCCCCACCCCATGTTACTCATCACACAAGGACATTCTATGTGATTTCTTACACAGAGGAAAAACCCCATCTACCTGGCAATGAGATCCAGCAAAATGACAGTTCTGAAAAGTGTTTTTGATTTTAATTTGTAGAATTAATTGTGATGATAAGTTTCTCTAGAGTGCTTGTGTCTAGTTAAGAGGATTTGCAAAACATTTTACAGGTCAAGTTCTGCTGAGTAATTAGGCAATAATTTAACAAATACAATTTTGGCCTTAAAGGAAATGTGTATATATTGTTGTTAGATGTCACTGAGTTCACTTTGACTCGTAGTGGCCTCATGTGACAGAGCAGAACTGCTCCATAGGGTTTTCTAGGCTGTAATCTTGATGGGAGCAGATCACTACATCTTTTTTTGGCAGAGCTGATTGCTCTGGGTGCTCAGGACCATGGTCTTGGGGACATTAAGGTCAATTGGCACACCATAGTCTACAAAGACAATGTTCTACATCCTAATTTGGTGACTGAAATCTTAAAAGTTTGTGAGTGTCCATCTAAGGTGCAATTATTGGTCTCTTCCTGTTCACAGCAAATAAGAGTGAAAAAAATTAAAGACACATGGAAATATCTATTCCAAAGGACTTACAGATCAAGTGAACCCCAGCCTGCATGACCATGAGACCAGAAGAGCTAGATGGTACCCAGCTACTATTTGTGACTGCTCTGAAGTCCTGGGCAGTTTGGGAAAAAATGTGAGCTCCCTCCCATGGTCAACTTTACTTTGAGGAGATGGATCTTCCCCAGCCTTATTTTGAGTGCCTTCCAACCTGAGGGGCGTATCCTCCAGCACTTTATCTGACAATATTCTGGTGCTCTTCATCATGTTTCAATAGTCAATATTCTGATGTTATCTGACAGTGTTCCACTGCTATTCAAAGGCTTTCAGTGACTATAAATATTTGGAAATATCCATCTCTCTTTCTTCCTAGTCTGTCTTAACCTGGAAGCTCATCTGAAACCTGTCCACCAGGTTGACCTTGCTGGTATTTAAAATACTAGTGGTATAGTTTCCATTATCACAGTACTACACAAACCACCACAGTATGGCAAACTGACAGACAGTGGTGGAGTTAAGGTACTAGATAACCTAAACTACTGTTTGGTTTTAAGACTATTTTAGGGAACATTTTTGGTTTAAGGATTAAAGATCATCTCAGGGCAATAATTTTGGGGTTCATCCACCCTCCATGGTTCCAGAAAGTCTAGAGTCCATGAAACTTTGAAATTTGCTCTGGTTTTTCCCTATTTTGATCAGGATTCTTCTATGGAATCTTGGATTAAACTGTTCAGTATTGGTAGGTAGCTGAGAGCCAGTTAGTACTATGGGCTCATGGCAAAGGAGGCAGTGGTTTGTGCTGGCCACACATTCCAAATCCTCCTCATATTCCTCACTCTCCATCTTCCTCTATTGCTCCGGGTGAATAGAGACTAATTGCTGTGCCTTGGATAGCCACTTGCAAGCTTTTATTACTCCTAGCACTACACCATGAATTAGGTAGGAGGATGAACAGAAGCACTAAACACATTATTAGGTCAATTAATTAGGATGTTCCACGAAACTATGATTCTAAACCTCCATTCCAAGGAACCAACTCCCATGAAATGCTTGGCTATATACAAATATCTTCATACGTTTTGACAGATATTTATGATTGGATGCCATATATTATTTTATTCATATAGAGCAATGCAAATCAGTTTAGTGGGACAAAGTAGAATTCAGTCCTGTGGAATTGGTTCAATTTGCAACACAAATGACACATGTCTCTCCAAAGTGGTTTCTTTAGCTTGTAGTCCAAATCCAAAACTATTTAGAAATGGTGATCAATAAATGCACATGTGTTTGCCAATAACATTGTCCTAGTTTGGTTATAGGCATCCTCAGAGACTTGGGAAATTAGTATTTGTGACACAGTGCTACTTTTGGTAGATGGGATCTGTGGTCTGGTTGATGAAGCCAGGCCACTAAAAGTGGAAGACCAGCACAACCTGCAATGTTAATGAAAAACTCTTAAAGCCTCCAGGCCCTGATTAATTTGACAGATACCTCATATAAATCGTTGTAACTAATGACCAACACAACATATCTTTCTCCATAGAAGGGTAAAGTACTCCACATATATTTGTATTATCTTCAATCACATATTTCAAATGTAATCAAGATGAACAAGTTTAAACATAATGTAAAAAAAATATGAATAAATTATAACTACTCTTCACTTAAAGACTATCTATTTCATTATCTGACATTTCACACTTACAATAGTAATAAAAAATCTATTATCTGACTATTTTGAGCCCTTACAACATACGTCTGGCAGTAATGAACACCGAGGTGCTAGGTGAGAATAACACGGACTATAACAACAACAACAACATAATGGCTAAGGCTATGAGTCAACTTGGCTGGGCCATGATTCCCAGTGGTTTAGAAGTTAAGTAATGATGTAATTTAACAGTTATGGAATGAATGATGTAGTCACTCTCCATTTTGTGGTCTGATGTGGTTGTCCATTTTCACATGATGCCGAGCTTTGCGTAATGACCTACTCTTTGGATCCTAGCCATGTTGGTAACTGAGCAGTGGTTACATGCAGGCAAGTCATACATACATCAGGATATTCTTAATGACTGGCTTTCTGAGAAGCAGTGTAGTATGAAATATAAAAGTAGCTTCTGGAGTCAGATGGGCCTAGATGCACCTCTTGTCTCTACCAATCTCACCATATGGTTTTCATTAATAAACAAATCAAAATTGGTGAGGATGTAGGGAGGGTGTGGAGCCCTCCTGTGAAGTTAAGATAATAGCTATCTCCCAGGAGCACTATGAAGATTAAAGAAGACAACCAATGTGACATTTTCAGCAGAGTGCCTGCAGTAATATGTATTAGTTTTCTGCTTATATAAACAGTTCACTTTACAAAGTATAACAAAAAATGTCTAAGCTTTAGACTGAAATTATTTGAGACTTGTGGCAATCAAATGACCTTTTGAAAAACTATGGTTGATATACTGACATGTCTAATTTCTGGTGGTGTTTATTTTTTCATTATTATCCAAATTCAAATGAGAAAATGAAAAGCTACAGTGCTATCATTAAAAAGATTAGTGAAGTTAAAATATACTAGCAAACTGTAAAATTGACTACTATGAAAACCTAGAATATTTAAAAATGTACTAAACATATGACACCACCACTCATCTGTCAGTTTGTTGTACTGTGGTGGCTTGTGAGTTGCTGTGATTCTGAAAGCTATGCCACCGGTATTTTAAATACCAGCAGGGTCACCCATGGTAGACAGGTTTCAGACAAGCTTCCAGAAAAAGACAGACTAGGAAGAAGGAGTGACG